CCCGCCACTGAATTAGAGTTGTTAGAAGATAAGTTACGTAAGTTACAAGATGAGGTTAACAAGGAGAAGATCAGAGCAGCTGCTGAATTAGAGTTGTTAAAACAGAAATTTACTGTTGATAAAGAACAAGTCGATGCTCAAATACGCTAGTTAAAAGATGACGTTAAGAAGAAAGAAGACCAAGAGGCGGCTTTAAAAAATAAGTTTGCTGTTGATAAAGAACAAGCCGATGCTGAAATACGCCAGTTAAAAGATGATGTTAAGAAGAAAGAGGACCCAGAAACGGCTTTAGAAAATAAGTTTGCTCTCCAATACCAAGATGAGATAAGATTCTATTAGATACACCTCAAATAACAAGATAACAACCTCATGATCTAATAGAATGTCAACCTTATAATCTAGGTCCATCATTTAACATGAGGTTGTTATTTTTTTATTTGAGGTGTATCTAATAGAATTTTATTTCATCTTGGTTTTGGAGAGTAAACTTATTTTCTAAAGCCGCTTCTTGGTCTTCTTTCTTTTTAACATCATCTTTTAACTGGCTTATTTGAGCATCAGCTTGTTCTTTATCAACAGCAAACTTATTTTTTAAAGCCGCCTCTTGGTCCTCTTTCTTCTTAACGTCATCTTTTAACTGGCGTATTTCTGCATCGGCTTGTCTTTTATCAACAGCAAACTTCTGTTTTAACAACTCTAATTCAGCAGCTGCTCTGGTCTTTTCCTTGTTAATCTCATCTTGTAACTTACGTAACTTATCTTCTAACAACTCTAATTCAGTGGCGGATTTCTCTTTCTCCTGTTGCTCGAGTTTCTCTTTTGCTTTCTGCTTCTTCTTCTTTTGCTTAAGAGGAAGACGAAGAACACCCTTTGTTTTGTTTGTCTTTCAACAGCCTTGAATAACATTTATAAGACTCATATATAGACTCGTCGTTGAGGGCATTCCTGAGTTGACCCATGACATTTGAGTCACAGTCATAGTCAACTATTGTTCTACTCAACGCTTCAAACTGTTTCTTCTGAAATGGAGTACCATGATCACCTAGATCTTTGAATTTGGTAGTGGCCTGTTCCACAAATATATCAGCCTTGACTTTATAACAGTTCCTGCAGGCCTTGGAGAATTTGTTGCTTGTCAGCTTGTGAAAATTGTTGTCTAAAATCCTGTTACAATCAAAATTTGATGCAAAGCATCATTTAACACAATCTAAATACTCAAGCAATCTAAATAGTGAGTGCTTAATGTTACAATACTAGTGCTTACCTCTAAATACTTGCTTAGAGGTAAACCGAAGCTCTAAATACTTAGTGTTTACCAACAGAATCTAAAATTAACAGAATCTCTAAATACTCAGTGTTACAATCTAAATACTCAATGTTACAATGTAAATACTGAGCTTACCTCTCCAATCACCACCAGTTGATTCACTGAATTGATATTGATACTTTTTAGTTTCTCCATAAGTTCAGAGTCTACACTTTGGCTTTCCAATTCTAAAGCAAACAATTAACAAAAATTAACACTAAGACAACTACAAATTAACATGAGATGAGGAATTCACAAATTACCTTCAATTGGTAATGAATCATCAACTTCACTGATTTTTTTATTTTACTTATTATATGAGAAAACTTTTATGATATATGTTATTAAGTACAC